CACTAAAAGAACAGTCATTAGAAAATTTATTGAATTCACAACCATCTCATTTAGAAGAGCAATTAATAAAAAGTGAAGAGGCAAGTAATAAACGCGATTCTCGTGCACGTCTTATAGCCCAAGAAAACAAAGCCGAGTCTAACAAAAAGATTCTTCGAAAACAGAATGAAAAACTTGAAGAGATAAAAAATGACTTAGAAATTTTAGCCAATGCTGAAGCAACTAAACAAGTAGAACAATCGCCTGAAGAGAAGGCTATGCAAAAACAAGTTGAACGAAACACTAAAATGAAAGAAGTTCAAACATACCACCAGAATAGGAAACAAGAAGATGCAAACGAAAAAGAGGCAGACGCCTATTGCCTTTCTCTGCTACCTGAGAAAACTAGAGATGCAGAGAGAAAAAGACGGGAAGAACTACGACAAGAACAAATAAACTATCTGAATTATGTGAATCAAATTAAAAAAGATGAAATCTGCGAAGATAAATACCATGATAAAATATGCATGGATATAATGAATCAGAAACGACAACTACTTCTTAAAGAAAAAGAAAAACAAAATCAACTAAAACAGAAACAAATCAAAGAGATAATTGAAATGCAAAAAGCTGCTATAGCAGAACGCATAAACAAGGAGAAAGCGGAATACTTGTCAAAAATTCAGGCAGGTAAAGAATTAGCAGAGAAACAAAAACAATACGAGGAGCAAATTCGTCAAGAAGAAGCTAAACAACGTGATAAAGCCATTAAATATTCAAATGAACTACTTGATCAAATAAAAACGACACAAATACAACGTAATGAAGAAGCGAATCAAATCTTGGAAGAGGAGAAAAAATTATTAAGAGAAGCTCAAGAGAATTATCAAGAACGGTTAAACAATCTTATAAAAAGCAGTTCATTCTATCAGAAATTACATCCATTAAGAAAAGCTATGGGTGATTCACTATTGAATTAGATTTATTTATTTATTTATTGTAATCAAGTAATTTCTTTAGGCTAAGCAAAATGAATCCACAAGATTATAAAAGGTCTCCGTGTTATTTTAAATACATAGATATCCTTCATTAGGTGCCTGTCATATATTTATGATTACATTCCTGAGTTCAGTTAGTTTAAACTTCTGTATTATATATCTATAATATCTAGTAAGGTTTCTAGAATGAAATAAAACTTAGAATTCAATCATTTCACCATATCATATCATTCTTGTAATATATAGTATATGTAGTGAAAATATATTCACTATTTGCACTATTGTGCAAACTTTTCCCTTGATAAGATGTTCAGTGAGTAGGTAACTTCATTCATGACAAATAGGTTTGACTGTAATTTTGTAATTACATAATATATATACATATATATATATATATATATATAGAGAGAGAGAGAGAGAGAGGAAGAGAACTGTTGGTATTAGACGGTTGGAGGCAATCGGAAGGAAGCCCTACTTCACTTAAGTTTCGTGCTATTCGGCACTCATCAGTCAGGAAGGCGTATCTTCAGTCTCTAAAGAACTTATGTCCCTTCTGAGATCTGAACCTGTGTCACCCACTGATTCAGTCAGAGACGTTACCAGGGATTGCGATTGACCTCCTGTAGGAATGTTCAGGATATTTTTGATTGGACAGCAGTCAGTAACTAGTGTAATGTGTCTAGTCCTATCTTTGGAGCAGAGTGAATTCTATCAGTCAGGTTTGCAATGTGGCCACCATGTTAGGTGGTCTTACAGCTCAATACAGTCCTACAGGAGGTCAACCGTGAGCCCGAATAGCTCAGTCGTAACGTCGCTGACTGCAACACTGGGTGACGCGAGTTCGGATCTCAGAAGGGACATAAGTTCTTTAGAGACTGCAGATACGCCTTGCTGACTATGAGCGCCACTATCAGAAACTGGGTGAAGCAGGGCTTCCTGCCGATTGCCTCGTACCATCTGATACCAATAATTTACAGTGCACCGTGATGGCGAGCCACCTAGAATGGTGGCCACATTGCGAACCTGACTGGTAGAATTCAGTCTGAACTAAAGATAAGACTAGATAGATTACACTACTCACTGACTAGTGTCCAATCAAACACATATATAAGCTTCTAGGTTGTATGTAACAAGGATACTTGTTCTAACAGCCTATTATTTACTGTCAGAAATATTTTTTACTGAACAATGCTTGATCAGCACAATGTAGAGATGCAGCATCTATCAGTACAGTATGAAATCTTTCTTTTATATGTTTTGATTTCCATGGCAGTAAATGATGTACTTTACGTTTATTACACCTGTATTGAGGTCTGTAGGCCGATTGTATGCTGTAACTGTATTCTCAAACGCTCATACACTCACTGCTACTTCCCGAAGAAATTATTGTCCTAATACGATGTGTTTTATAGTTTTCAATCCAGTTTGAAACAATCATCTATTTAGTTAGTCTATATGAGATAAGTCGATGTAATATTATATTAAATCTTTAGAAAATGACTTTTTGCCGATGTTCAGATCAGAGCTTTGATTAATATTCTAAAGATGAATTTTCACGAAAAATTTTCAAAAAAGAACCAAAGGTTGAAAGAATGTCAACACAAGAAGCTTAACACGATGGCTGAACAGACTGAAATGTGATTTAGCTTGAGTATCCCTATAATTTATTCAATAGAAAGAAAAATTCTACACAACTTTTTTTCAGGTTGTAAAGACACAAATGTACCGCTGGTATATAATAGTCCATAAAGAAAAAATAAAACTACATCAGAAATCGTATTTTGGTGAAATACACAGTGGAATAACAAGCAATTGTTTTCGTTGTTATTTAAATGCAGACAGAGTGTACATACGACACGAAATAATAACTGAATCATGTTTGTATATAATAATAATAATAATAAAGGGTGTTTGTTTAAGCGGTGAGTTATAATCAGTGTAATAAGACGAGTTTTGAATACTACGGATAAATAAACTAGGACGGATACGCTAGATACAAGTTCAGCTAATGAAACAAGAATCACCTCTTCTGTAACTAATATCGAATTTTTTTATTCCTTTACGTTCCCAGTGGAACTTAGAGCTTCAAGCTTCGATAGCAGTGGTGTTTATTTTTACGGGATGAAGTTGCTAGCCTCATGCCCAACCTTCCCTCTTTACAAGTCTTATTTCTGGCTTAGCGAGGTAGATGAGTCCACCGGCCGGAGATCGAACCCCGAACCACATGCGTGGTTGGCTAGCATTCTACCGCTGTGCCACCGACGCACATCAGATATTCTTTACTGACATTATTTCGAATTTTTCGTCGAATAGTTTTACCAAACCAAATGCTGTATTTATTGGAATGTCACCTATTATTATGGTCTCTTCGAGGATGTTTTCACAAATGATTGCTGGTTGGTAATTGCTCTGTTAGTTCTGTATCTGTCTCTAAAATTATGTGGGGTGATCTTAGTCAAAATGGAAGTGGAAACACCAGTAAGCAATGAAAATTGAAGGATGTAACACTATGAAAACTAAATTTATTAGTTTCAATTTCTTTCGATAGTGTGGTTCCATGTTATAGCTTAAGATCAAACAGTACTGGAGGATGTGAGGACTCAACTAACTTCGCAAAGAGACGAAGAGTGAGTAGGATTTGTTGAAGGAGTTGCAGACAAAAAATTCAATCTACAATCACACTGATAAAACACCAGTTAACCGAAAGCTATAAATCGGTAAATCCATATATTCATACACAGCTTTAGCTATGAAAGAAGAATGGTCTCTGAAACAAAATGTGTTGAAGAATTTTTGTTTTAAAGACCCACTGACTGACAATGTCTAAAGTTTGAACACTTTGTTAGTCTTTAGATAAGTAACTTTCGTTATTTCTTTTTTTCAATGACTCTTTGAACTGTGGTAAATTAAACTGATACACTTTTGGATGTGACTGGATTGTTCCTAATGTATTCACTACACATATTCTGTTATTTCATATAAAAATGATAGCTTATCTAGGATTACTCACTTAAGTGATTTGTAAGGCTAATTTATCGAGACAGAGAAACAGCCAGCACTTAGAAAATAACTCTAACATCAACTGAAATACAATAGTAGAAATTAATAAAAGAATTTTTCGCTGCCCAGTAATTGCCACTTAAACCGTCAGCACTCAATACGGAAAAGTAGACGAAATATAGGGGTAGTTGTCTTATCTAAGATCAAACAGAAAGGCTGTTTCATTAAGTTCAATGATGGAAAACAAAAGTGTTGAAAAAAGTATAGAAGAAACATTCAAATACTTTTAGCTAACTACAGTAATCGTAGTAAAAATGATTACATCAAGGTGATAAGCTTATTCAGATGCAGTACTGGGTGCAAGCCGTTCCCATACACTCCTATTTCAGCACCAGAAGGTTTAATCTCAAGAAAACTCATTAAAGAGGGAAGAATAACGATACAGGATCAGAGATGAATGAAACCTAGTCAACGCGTTTTCTTTTGTTTCCAAGGTAGACATTAAGTGCAGAAATCTAACATCTTTCTGCAGCCAATTGTGATAACTTCAGCACACACATCATCTAAAGAGCACTAAAGAAAGAAATACTCAACAAGATCCTGATATGCGAATCACGCTTTACGCAGTAATTCAAGGTTAATAAAGTAGGCAACTAGGAAATAATTCACTTTTTATTTCGTTACTCCTGATACAGAAACCGAACTGAAATCAGGAGTATCCAACTACTTAATAATAATGCACAAAGCACCAAAACACAGAAACTAGTATATACAGAGCACAAAATCAAATCTTGTATTATATACTCATCCCAACAGTTGGGGTCTTCTCTTGCTTTGTGTGCTACATGGAGTGTGGCGACTTGAACTACCACACATATGTGCAATGTTCTATGTCGAAAACAGACAGGCAGGAGTGGTGTCAATATAATAGCCTATTATCATTAATTATGAAAGCAGCAAGGTTAGTGCCTGGAACTGCAGTACTGCCAATACTTAAGTAAAAAATTGGAATGGATTGCATAGTTACTTGAAACTCGGCTAATGGAAACCGATTTCCCATCCCCGAGACCATGAGCTACATTTATGATTGGTTATGAAACTACCGAGTCACCGGGGTTAAAATATGTAAGATGGAGACAGAATGTGGGACCCAGTGACTGAAGACTAAGTGTTTAACTCAATGAACCATATTTTCGCTCGCTTTAGGCAGACTACTTATTAATGATTGCTGAAAGAAGTGAAAAACTTAGTCGAAAACATTTCTGACGTCGTCGAACTCATAAAAAGTATATGAATTCTGCAGTGAGACCTCATCCCTATGAAACATAGCTAGCAGAAAAAGAAAACTGAGAATTGAAGTAACCTGAAATTCGACTGACACAGACTAAGTACCCTATCGAAATAGCAAACTCACTAACCATTCTCAATTATTTTCCAGGTCTAAAACACTGAAGCTCTTCTATTTTGCATTGGATATATGAAGAGCACCTGATTGTCTTACGGAAAAATGAAAATCCACAGTGTCATCGAGACCTTCTACCATAGAATCAGTTTCCTATCATAAAATCATTCTCACACATTACAAAAAGAACCAATCTACCATGTTTGAAACACACTACTAAAATCGACGCTATATTCCTGAATTCTTTTAGAACAAGGATAGCTCAAAAGCCAACACAAACTACGCAATAGTAGAAGCATAGACTCTCATATGCTCCTCTGGAGTTGATTACATTGGATGTTGTGTGTTCTCTGGAAACGCGTAGCTGAACTCTAACAGGTTTAGTTGATGAAAGGTTAGCATAAGATGACGAAGTCTCCCATTTGTAAACATCTAGAGTCAGGTCATTCAGCCTCATGCGATTTATCCTTTCAATTGCATGTAAATAAAGACAGCTGTTCAGCGACCAGCTAACTAAATCTTTCTAAACGAAATACAAATCAGTTTGTATGTCGATGCTTTGCTAGCAAAAACATGTCCTGACTATTCATCGCAGTACAAAATTCTGATGACGCATAGAAACTTCCTTATCTCTACATCACCAAACTACCCCCATTTAGAAACCACGCCTTAAGAGCGGATACAGTATATCAAACAGTAAATGCTTTAGGATGAAAAATATAACCAGGGAAAACTAACACAAAGAAATGATATGAGCGATTTATGAATATTTATTTTCGGTGAAAAACAATCATCAAAAGTCCATAAATAGATGGTTGTAAAACAAAATCTTGGCATTTCTGAGTAAACGTCCTTAAAACCAACCGGAAACAGCGCACAGATAAACCATCAGGAGAGGAGTTTAACGTTTTCCGAGAATATTTAAAAACTTCCCACGAGTCATTTCCTTTGCTGAAACGGAAAATATTATTTAAATTTATCATACCTTCCTCCAGCCCAACCTGGTAAGCCAGGTTTTGAAGATGTTTAACTTTATCCATTAGCTGCTGGGTTGAAAGGCTACCAAAGTCTGAAAAATAAATCACTTTAATGAGGAAGTACCATGGATTAGTTCCAAATCTTCCTTGTCTAGATCTGTAGCATACTTAGGAGGAGTATGCAAGTTTATTTCATTTTGCCGAGAAGTGAGAAATTCAGTGACACCAGGGACTAAGTGGAAATAAAAATTAGAAAATTACTTTGTTCTGGCCATAAATCCGGCGAAGCTCTATCTAAATTATCATGACTCAAGAGAGCCTGGTCAGTCTTATCCTCCATTGTTTCTCCAGACTTTAAAAATTTTTTGGTTAACAAGTCTGGAAAACAAAAGACAAAGGTCAATAAAGAGAAGCAGTTTTCAAAGACACAGAAACAGTATTAGCTGGATGGAAATATGCAAAATCAAACGCTGAATTGCAGTTAAAAGTGGCTTATAGTCTACATGAGTCCAGGAAAAGCTTTACTACCAATGATCATATCGCCCCCCTCGTTTGTTCTCAAAAATATGGAGTTTAGAAGTACAAAGCCTGCCTATAACTATTTAAAAATCTAAATGTACTACCAGGTACCTTGGACAAACTGAGAACAAACCACCCCTAACAATATATATATGCATGTAAATATATATTTTATGGTTGACTTGGAGATGAGATATAAACAGCTGGAGTTCAATAATACATGCTATCATAATTTGTTGCATTTCACACAGACATAAATATCATCCAAAAGCTGCCGCAAAAGTAAAATGCAACCATGACTTAGTACATTTGTTAGTGTGTGTCAATAATTATAATACTTGAGCATTATGAATATTCATCGGTATAACTCAGGCAAACTTGATGAACCACCTCCACTACTGAATGTCATATCTTAAACTTTAGTTTTTCCTGCAGTTTCCAAATACACAAAAATCAATGTCAATGTATATTCATTCATATGATCTATAAATTCGACAAACGCATATAAACCGCTAAACAGATCTAAACTATAAACAGCATCAGATATACAATGACCTTAAATAGGATACGTGAGTGTTACTGTGCACGATATTGTATTCTCATCACCCAGTACTACTGAGAAATGGCTCGTGGTGAAACACTGTTGATTTTATAAAGTTATTCTAGGTAGGCAATATCTTAATATAGGTTAATACTCTGGCAAATAAAAGAAAGGTAAGAACAATCATTTACCCTGTCTACAAAACGAGTTATGGAAAACAAAGAATAAAAATTTGTTAACACAACCTTCAATTATTAACTATGCGCCAATTTTTGCAGGTTCAACATTGAATTCAATGAAACAATATGAACAATATCAGCCATTTGTTTTCTTTGTGGTCTATTCATGTAAGCTAAAAACGGTCTTTTGATATGTATTTATTTTCTAAGTAAACTTAAAAAGAGAACTTACGAGCAGATAGTGAAATTTGATGACTATAAATACAAAATAAGAGAATGAATAGATGCAGTATTCAGAAAAGTGAGATGGTGGAATTTGGGCACTACTAAAGGACGAGATTAGATGTACACCTACTGATAGTGTCTATAGGCTTAACAGCATTCACCATTTGAACGTGGTCCATGGGTACCATCATGATCGTCCAGTCTCCGCTAAAAGCTTTCCATTGACTTTGCACCAGCCATAGCTTATTGCGAAACGTTCAATGATAGCAAGCTGGAAGTGAAAAAATGAGGATACACTTGAGTTTTCACTCCCTGATGCACTCTCGTTCGTGGACTCCCACGATGAGGCCAGTACGCAGTTAATCGCAGAATACTTTTGTTTGTGTGATTCTGGTCATTTGTAATCTTGCAGACAGTAATAAGGTCATCCCTAATCCGATGCTGGCTAATTGGGAGAAAGCCTAATTTTTTTCTAGGAACCCATCAACGCTTTTACCGTATGTCTTTGGATTCTTTCCAAAAGATTGTAGTCTTTTCTGAGTAACTAAGGAGCATTGATATTGTGCACTTCAAGGTGTGGTCTAATGTATTTTTCGCACAAACTTTGAACCAGCCCATGAGTAGTGTGTATAACAGCATACGTTCTCTCCACAACGCAGTTGTAACTCACGATTCTGCCCATGTTTTCTCCTGGAGCTAAACCTAAGTTGTGTTCCGGAATTAGAGAGGTTAGTTATCGTCACACATAAAATAACTCACACTCAGCGGCCTATGGGTATGTAATTGCACTACTTTGCTTTTCCAGGTCGAAAGTTAAACCATTCAGAAGTGCCCAGTCTTCCAGAATTTTCAGGTCAGAATATTCCGGGCACTCTATTGTCCTACAGATCTTTACGCTGTAAGCGTAGTTTAGATGTAATGGAAGGTCGCTGGTAAAAGTCAAAAACATTGAGGGCCATAGGATAGAACCCTATGGTACTCCCCGTGCTGAGTTGTGCAAGGATGACCGGACACGAGTGACCTCGGTACAGAATTCGCTTCTATCCGGGTAGCTCTCCAACTGTAAGAGACGCCAGTCATGTATACCTAGCTGACATATTTTGTATGTGAGATGGTCATGCTGAATTATGTCAAACGTCTCTGAAAAGTTAAGGAAGGTCGCAATGGCCGGAACATTCATATCCCAGAATAATGTCCTATCATTTCAAGCTGACAAATTTGTCACACATGATCTGCATCTCCGGAAACCATGTTGTACTTCATCGAGTAAGTTAGTTGTGCTGAGATGTTGCCAGGTATGATCATCAGTTAGAATATTCAATTCATTCGGAACCACTGGGAGTAGCGCGACTGGTCTACAATTTTAAGAGCCTTACCGATCTTCACCCCTAAATGTAGGCGAAAGTATGGCTGTCTCTCGCTCTTTTGGTGGTTTTCTTGAATCCATGAGACGTTGGTACAGCTCAGATGAGGAACTTCAGAGACCTCCTGTGAATTGTCACAGAACAAATGGGAAATTAAAGACTGTACTGGCAGGAAATCAGGCATGGGTAGAAAATGGAGAAAGCATTCTTAACAAAGACTGTCCAATAACAGCTGAAAAACTTATACTCAAGCAATTGCTTTACACCAAACTATGATTCAAGCCTGACTACAGAATAACATTTATCCAACACTAACCTAAGTTAAATGAAGATATATTATTATGTCCCTAACCACAAGTGATGATTATTATGAACACTATCAACAGTATTAGAACAGACTTAGGATTATTCTTATATCACTGTGTAAGAGTTAGACTTAGGGTTTACTTCTACCTGACAATAACCACTCTTACAAAACTCCTTCACCGTTTATAACCTTAATTAGTACTCTGCCTACGTGCAAGTACTAAAGAACGGAATCGAAGTTAGAAGACTCGAAAGGGCAAGTGTAACTGGACCGGAATTATATTTACACAACGAGATATGCAATTTGATAAGAAATAAAAAATACACACTTATCTGGAGATGAGACGGTTGTCGGCTCGTAGAGTGTACTAGGTGAAAGTACAGCGAGAGAGCGAGACAGTAACCGTACAGGAGGAACCGGAGTACAATGCGGAAGTGGAAGTGAAGTTAAACATGTCAGGTTGCATTCATTCAAACAAAAGTTCAAAGGTACAATGTACACTACAGGTTATCCCCCCCTTAGAAGGTTGGTGGGATAACAGCAAGCTTCGATATATAAAAGTAACAAGGTGGCGTACAATAACGGTGAATGGACAAGAAAATGTGAAGATAGTAATAAAATAGCTGTTTTTCTTTTTTTTAAATATATATTGAGAAAGGAAAGAATGAAGGAAAAAAAATTAAGGCAATTTATGAGCACTATGTACACGATCAATGGAGTAAGATGGAATATAAGAAGGAATAACGCTGGTGCCTTGGTGCGATTTTTTTTTAAAATTTTTTTTTCAACATCGTTTATTTATACGTATCTTTTTTATTTTTTATTTTTATTTTATTTATTTATTTAGTTTTTTTTTACGACTCACTATTACGAGCTGGGTTATATGGAGGTGTGATGGTTTACCTCCGTTACCCACGTTGTTATAACTGGAAGGTGGCTCATTATGACTAAGCTTCCTCTTAGACTAATGCTCCATCCTTCCGCATCAACTAAAACTAGTAGTAACACCAAAGGCAATCAATATACCAGCGTATTAGGAGGAATAAAGTAAAAGCAACAGAAAAGAATAGAAGAAGAGGTTAAGATTTAAAAATCAGCATAGGGTGTTAACAAAAACTTAAGCGGAATAAATGCGAAGGAACTAGTGTAACATGGAAATGGTACGCCAAATTGAAATAAAACAAGGGAAATTGCTAACACTGTGGAAACTTATGCAAGGTACAGAGAAGAGTGTGTACAACCAATAGCTATGAATAAGTATAATCACCATTTGTTAAAAAAAAATGTAGCGAGCTGCATAATTAAAGTGATGCAAAGTAATTACAAGTATGGGTCACAAAATAAATAAGTTTCGTCATGGCATAACTCGAGTGAAAATAGTAAGATCTGTGAAAATAGATTGAGCGGATTTAACTGTACAGCATAGAAGTGACGTATTTACATACCAAAAATATTTCACGGTCCGTTTAACTATACAGTGAAAGTTTTTGTTTTTACATTTTATTATTTTTTATTTATTTTATTATTTTTTTTTATCGGGTCCATATTTTTGGTCGTTTGGTTTGTAATTCCACGAGTGTTGGTAGTCATCATACGACGATAGAGTTGATTGATGTAGTTAGCTGTTCGAGAGTAAGGCCGAAAATAAAATGCTAGAACACTCTGTAAAGAGAAAGAAATCTAACAAGGTTAGTAACTGTAAAAGCGGCTACTGCCCACAAACTAAATCAAAAGGGTAAATACCATGAAAAATGAATGTAAACTGCGACAAAGAAAGAAAAAAATGAGAGTATGAACTACTCTTATACGTAAAAGTGTTTAGTTAACGAATTCGCAGTATCGCTTAGGCCAGTGCACACGCCGACCGGCGCGTGTAACTGTTGCCTTACCTGTCTCATCCGAGGAACTGCTAGGTTTAGCAGGATTTTTGACCATCGGACTTGGCTGGGGTGTGAGTGCGGGCGTAGTCGCTGGTTGCGTAGGCGTGAGGGGTACCGAGTCTTCCATGTAGGCCGCCTTAAGTCTGTCTACACTTACGGTGTCTTGCCGGCCAAATCGATCAATAACAAAAAATTTTTCTTTTCTACTGACGACCTTGAATGGTCCATCGTAAGGAGGTTGTAAGGGTCTACGGACGGTGTCGCAACGCACAAAAACGTGCGTACAGCCATCGAGTCTAGCGTCTACTTGCACTCTCTTGTTTTGTGTGCGAGTGGGAGTTGGTTGCAGGCGTTGCATAAGGCGCTTGAGGTTCTGAGCATAACCCTGTACATCCGTAGCACCTGGTTCACCACTTTCAGGTGAGATAATTTCACCCGGTAGACGGAGGGTGGTACCAAACACCAACTCTGCGGAAGTGCACTGTAAGTCTGCTTTGAGTGTGGAACGGATACTAAGTAGCACTAGGGGAAGAGACTCAGTCCACTTAGTATTCTCTGCAGCCATTAACGAAGCTTTCAGTTGACGGTGAAAACGCTCCACAAGTCCATTTGCTGCTGGATGGTACGTGGTTGTTCGGATGCGTTTGCACCCCAGTAGCTCTAAGAGCTTCTTGAAGTGGGTTGATTCAAACTGCTGTCCACGGTCTGTAGTCACCGTAGATGGACATCCGAATTGAGCTACCCAGCGTTCCATGAACACTCGGCAAATGGTTTCCGCAGTCGTATCGGGGATGGGAATAGCTTCTGGCCAACGAGTGAACCGGTCGACACATGTCAACAAATAACAGTGGCCATTTGATGGTGGTAGAGGACCCACTACGTCTAGATGAACGTGGCTAAAGCGAGCATCGGGTGTGGAGAAGGAACCCACTGGGGTGATGTTGTGTTTGTGTACCTTAGCTCGTTGACACGGCACACAGGCACGTGCCCAGATACGCACGTCTCGATTGATACCAGGCCAGACAAATCTAGCTGACACTAGTTTGTCCGTTGCCCGGATACCTGGGTGGGAAAGGTTGTGTAGGCTATCAAAAACTGTACGGCGCAATGAAGGTGGAACGATGGGTCTCGGGGTACCGGTGGACAGATCACAGAGGATGGTACCCTCGCTATTAACGAGCGGGATACGCTTGATATGTAAGGAGGTATTTGACGACAGCTTATCAAGATCTAACTCTGTAAGCTGACGTTGCGCCATTAGTTTCAAGTCAATGGTTGGAGGCGCCGACATGGTACATATCCGAGACAAGGCGTCTGCCACAGCATTG